ACTCCACCCCCACAGAATGTCTCTGGTCTATGGTTGTTCATTATTTTTGTTATTTTCTCGCCTGGTCCATTATACTCCTGCTATGAGTGAAACCTTCATTTCTTTTTATGGCTGAATATTATTTTGCTTTAAGCATATACCACATTTTGTCAATCCATTCATCTGTTGAGTTGTTTCCACTTTGGGGCTACTATAATAATGCACTAAGAGTAGAAATGTTGAATCATATGGTAAGTAATTCTGTGTTTGACTCTTTGAAGTACTGTCAAACTGCTTTCCAAAGTAGCTATACCATTTGATGTTCCTACCAACAATGTTCCCATTTTTTCCACATCCTTGACAATGTATTTTTTTTAATAGCCATCCTAATGGATGGGAAATGGTAACACATTGCCGTCCTGACTTGCATTTCCCAAGAGACCAATGATATTAACCATCTTTTTCATGTGCTTACTGGTCATTTATCTCTTCTCTAGAGAAATGTCTGTTCAAGTCCTTCAATTATTTTTGAAATGGATTGTTACCTTAACTCTGTTGGCAAGAAGCGGCAAACTAGTTCTTAGAACACCCCAAACATTTTCTTTGTTATTTCACTTATGTTCAGAATGTTCTTTCCATTGCCCTTAGCATTCATCCTTCAAGTTTCTCCAAACACTCCTTCCCTGATGTGATATGCTCCTACATCAAGTATGGTGGTATGGAAGCCCCTGTTCTGTTTAGTTTCTCCACAGCATTACCACAATCTATAACTGTTCTATGTGTTTTACTCTTGGTCACAACAGCATGTAAATTCTTGAAGGTATGAACTTTTTGGTCTTTTACACTACTGACACAAGCTCAATAATTGATACATGAACGAGGCAAAATTTATTTGTAGAAGGATGCAAAAACTTCAGTTCTAGAAGCACTACACTTGGTGACCTTAATAGTTCATACTAAATAAATGAAAATCTCTCTTCAAACCTATTGCCAAGGTTAAAGAATATAACTGACATTTTCCCTTAGCTTGTTAAAAATGCATGTGATTCTGGCAATCAATATATTAAGAGGATTAGTTATTGAGGATTAGTATTTCTAGACTACAATAGCAACCAATACATGTAAATGTTATACAATGCTGGTTTTACTACTTACCATTCCTAGCCAAAAAAGCAGAGCTGCTTGAAGAAATGGCTGCTTCCTGAGCTGGTGTATGCAAAATAAAAGATGAGCCTGGAGCATCTGCCTGTCCTTCTCCCTCGTCTGCCTCTGGTGAATACTCTCATTCCCCTGCACCTTTGGTCTATATCCCAGTTCTTACATGCATAAATAAATCTTTTAAAGTGGGGTTACATGTCAAAAGTACACACAAGCCACAATAAAGGAGTTCCAGTGGTGAAATCTAGAGTAATTTGAATGACAGTTCATAATTATAAATTAGTGGGCAACAGAAATGATCCTGTATCATCCTCAGTTCATCATATCAAGAACAATTATAAAATAACTGCTAGTACTTTTTAGAAGTTTTGAAGCCATAACAAATTAACTCTGAGAGACTATCCTAGGTTAGAAGAGATTGAAGAAGACTAAACACAATGTGAACTCCTAGACCAGAAAAAGGGTACAGTGGAAGCTGATGACATATGAAAAAGGTTTAATTAGTATCATAATAATACACACTTCTTGATTTTGGCAATTATAAATTGTATTATGGTTAAATAAAGATGTTAGTATTAGATAAATCTGGGTATATGAGAACTCTTATAATTTTTGTATATTTCTGTGATTTTACATTTATTTCAAAATAAATGTTGTTGGTCTTTGAAATACATGAACTGAGGGCCCTCCCTGGTAGTGCGACAGGTTAAAGTGCAGCACTGCAAGCGAGCTGCAGCTGCTTCTGTGCGAGTTCGATCCCTGGACCCTGGACCAAAGGTGACCCACATGAGGAGGCAGACCTCTTCTGACCCACCCATTGCTCCCCTGAGCAGTGTACTTTGTCGATCTGCCTGTTCTGCTCCCCACTGTGTCTCTGGTGAATCCTCTCACCAACCCTGCACCTCTCACCCATACCCCAGTTCTGTATGCTAGATCTTTAAAAAAAAATACATGAATTAAAAAGGTTGTTTTTTTTAAAGATTTATTTATTCATACAGAATTGGGGTACAGGCTAGAGGTGCGGGGGCAGTGAGAGGATTCACCAGAGACTAAGTGGGATGCAAATCAGGTAGACTGACGAAGTACACTGCTATGGGGATCAGCAGACGAGACAGAAGTCTGCTAAGCCTTGTGGGTCTCCTCCCTGGCCAGGGATTGAACTTGTGCAGAAGTGGCTGTGGCCAGCATGGCCAGCTTTGTAATGCTGTGCTTTAATCTGCTGCGCCACCAAAGGAAGGCCCAAAACAGTATTAACCTCTATCTGAATACATTTGGTTTAATTTGACTTAGGAAAAAGGATCAAGCTACATTTGAAATATGTGGGTTTTTTTTTTTTAAAGATTTATTTATTCATACAGAACTGGGGTACAGGCCAGAGATGCGGAGGGTGATAGGATTCACCAGAGACAGAGTGGGGAGCAGAACAGGTTGACTGAGAAGTCCACTGCTGAGGGGAGCAGCGGGCGGGTCAGGAGAGGTCTGCCAGCCATGTGGTCTCCTCCGGGGCAGGCGGGGATCGAACTCATGCTGAAGTGGCTTTAGCTTCTTAGTGCTGTGCTTTAACCTGCTGCGCCACCAGGGAGGGCCCGTGTTTTTGTTTTTTGCAGAACAGGACTCTAGTTAGTAAAATCAAATCCGCATAGGACTCTACCAACTCCTCCTCCATTCTCCTCTGCTGCAGAGCGGGGTGTAACCAGCAGTAGGAGCTGCAGTGGGTCACGGGCAGAAGAAAGGGCCCATGAACTAGTCAACTTGCAGAGAAACTGCCCATTAACAACTCCAATGCTTTTTTCCTTCTGCCAACTGATGGCCTTGTTGAGCTGCTCATCTCCTCAATGCACATGCTGTTCAGGATATTCTGACGTCCTTGGGGCTGAGGGAAGCAATGTCCCAGAGGGCAGCCAGCAGAAGGAAGGCAACATAGGGAGTCCCAGCAACAGCATCAGTGACAAAAAGCTAAACGAACTATATATTTGAGGAAGTGCATACATTTTTCCCTTGCAAAAATGCACCCAAAGAAAGAAAATTAAGCAGATACTAAAGATATGCTATAACTTTAAAGATTTCTGTTTCTCAGGCTAAGAAAGAGCAGGGGGACAACTACATCAGTACCTTAACTTACTATCTTTTCCTGGGAGATACCTTGAAATTCTAATTTGTCTCAATTCTGATGATTATGGTTTCTTTTTTCTTCTCTCTCCCTCTTTTTTTTCTTATTTGTTATTTTTTATTCAGAGGCTAATTTAGAAAACACGTCTCAGGAGCTAAGGCTCAAATTTCCTTTTAAGGGATTTTTTTTTTTTCTCTTAGCATCAGAGGACTCTGACTTAATAGGGCTTTCTGGTTTTGACATACTTATAGTATAAGGTTTGGATGTGTTGAGTGGGAATGGGTAGGTGGGAAAATCTGAATTAATAAAGCATATGGAACTGTTGTTTCACAGCCACTTAGAACAAGCAGTGTTGAATTCTGGCCTTTACTTTTATTTTGTAGCCTATGACTGACTATGTATTCCTCCAAATCCAGTATTCTTCTGATTCTGTTTGAAATAGCAATCAAACCATCCAATTTGGAACAGCAGAAAGGACTTCAACAGACATTTCTCCAGAAAAGATATACAAATGACCAACAGCACACTGATATAATACTCAGTAGGATGGTTATAATAGTTAAAGACAAAATCACAAATAGAAATACTGCTAGTAAGAATGTCAAACTACGAAAAAGTTTGACAGTTCCTCTAAAAGTAAAATACAGAAGAGCTTCCCTGGTGGCACAGGGTTTGTTAAAGGCTCAGTTCTGGGCCCTCCCTGGTGGCACAATGGCTTAAAGTACAGCACTGCAAGTTAGCCGCAGCTGCTTCAGTGCAAGTTCAGTCCCCAGCCCCGGAGGTGACCCACATGGTGCAGCAGACCTCTCCTGACCCACCTGCTGCTCCCTTTGGCAGTGTACTTCATTGATCTGCCTGTTTTGCTCCCCACGCTGTCTCTGGTAAATCCTCTCACTGCCCCTGCACCCAGTTCTGTATGCATTAATAAATAAATCTTAAAAAAGAAAAAAAGGCTCAGCCACAAAATGATGTAAAAATAATTATTAGATAAAAAAACAACAAAAAAATAAAAAGGCTCAGTGCTATCAAGCCACTACAGCATGAGTTTGATCTGGGCTAGGGAGATGGCCTACATGGCGCAGCAAACCTCTCCTATCTTCCCGCTACTCACCCCAACAGTTTGTTTCATGTTTCAGTAGATCCACCTGTTTTGGTCCCCACTCTGTCTCTGGTGAATCCTCTCATCCTCCCACACCTCTAGCCTACCAGAAATAGAACACTCCAGCTCTCCTATGCATAAATAAATAAAATAAATCTTTTTTAAAATTGGTAAAATACAGAATTACTATATGATTCAGCAATTCTGCTCCTAGGTATATAACCAAAAGAAATGAAAACAGGGATTTCAAAATACTTTCAAGCCAATATTCACAGAAACATTTTAGTAGCCAAAAGCTGGATACCACCCAAGTGTCCAGCAACAGATGAATGGATGTACGAATATGGCATATATACTTAAAAAGGACCAATGTTCAGCCATAAGAAGAAAGAAAGTTATAACAGATGCTACAACACAGATGACCCTTGAAAAATTACAAACACAAACCTTGGAAATGCAAAAGGACAAAAATTACAATTCCACTTATATAAAATACTGACAAATGTGCAGAGACAGAAAGTAGATTACAGGTCACCAGTGGTTCTGGTGAGGGGCAAGTCGGGAGTTATCATTTAATGGGTACAGTTGTCTGAAGTGATGAAAAAGTTCTGGAAATAGTGGTAAGGGTTATATAACAATGCCAATGTACTTACTTAGCACATAAAAATGTCAACCTTTGTTATAGATATTTTACTACAAATTTTTAAAAAGTGAAATAAGCAGCAAAAGTCAACACCAGTATGGATTGATTCTTCTAAGTACAGGACCCATTAAGTAAAAGAATGGTATGGGGTGAAGTGGATGACTGAACCCACAGAGTTTTAGAAGCTTAAAAAGCAGAAAACCTAAAATAAAAACTTATACATGATAAACAATCACTTTAAAAAATAAAGTGACGATTCATGGATTCTCTCTCAATTGTATTTTGAAACAGATTCCTTCTCCTTCATTGGTTAAGGCCGCCAGGCCCCAGTCATTCTGTTAATTTCTTACCATCCATCCATACTCTCAGCACGCAAAGACACAGGCTCCACACAGCCTCCTGCCAGCTACTTCAACAGTTTGGAAAGGAAAGCATCCAATTCTTCCTCCTTTCTCTGGGGCCAGAGAAATGCTCTCCACTTCTCTCTTAAAGCATTCCAGAAAACAGGAAGCCCTGACAGCACTATGATCCACTCCACCAAATGGGACTTAATTTTGTGAATCCTTCTCCATTTTACATTATCGATGAATTCAATTCTCAAGATACAAAGATCTTGCTGATGACTTCAACTTCTAATAATTTTGCTCAATAAAGCGACTTAGCTGATTTGAGACAACAGACACGTACAACCTCATCACAGGGGGAAAACAAGACAAGGAAAACTGAGTCGAGGCCTCCACACTGGCAGTGACTGACCTTTGTACTCAGGGGTGAACTCCTTCATTTCAGGAGGGAGGGACTCGTAGAAGCGCTGCTCCCGGGAGATGAGCGGTTTGCACACGGTATGGTCGTCGTAGCGCATCATGCTGCTGTGTCCGCCCACCTGGTGGATGAAGGGTTCCAGGAGGACTCCCCGGTCTCCGGCCCGACTTGCGTTCTTGCCATACTGCCCCACTTCCATGGTTTGACAAACACACATTGCGTTGGGGGCCAGTTGCACACTGAGGGCAGAGGATGCAGCACATGGGCCACGAAGAGAGAGCTAGGCAGGCGGACTGGCAGACTGAAAGCCGAAGGTCAGAGTCTAGTCTGCTTATTCTTCTTTCCTACAGAAGGAAGAAAAGAGGAGGGGGTATCAGAACACCTGGCAAGCTAGTTTCCCTGGAGCTAACAAAACGACAGTCCCAGGTAAGAACAGACTCCATGTTTGCCCAGCATACTGTACACCACTGCCAGGGGCTTGAGAGGTAGCTGGTAAATTTTGGTTGAACAGTGCAACTTTGGTCTTCTCCATCCATCCTTTCATGCACAAAAGTCCACATTCACTTCCTTTTCTAACTCTGAGATTCCTTCTAAGTTCTCCAAAGGATTTGATTTTAGAGCTACAGTATGTTACAGCCATCAAGAAGGCAACTATCCTGTTTATTTCACATTCAACAAAGAGTGGGGGACAAAAGGAAACACAAATTCACTCTGTTCAGGCTTCTCACAGAAGCCAGCACTGGTAAGGAAGTGCCTCCGATCCAAAGGAGGTTTTCTGCCGGAGCAATCAGGTCGCACTACCATACCAACTTTTCTGCAGAAGGTGCCATGAACAGGCAAAGAAACCCATTCTTTGCTGAGTTATAGAATCATATAAAAAAGTTTTGCTTTTCCCAAAGAAATTTAGGCTTTGTAGTTCTCCTAGTTTAAATTTATAGCCATCAATTTATGACCAAGTCTAGCATGACAGTTTCCCTTTCTGACTCATACTAGGAAAAGCTCCATATATTTAAATACCCTCCTGTAATTTCAATTTTCTCGCAAGAAAGTTAAAGTAGTTGGCAACTTCCTTAATACTGAGTATACTTTTAGAACTAGGAGTGCAGTAGGCAAGACTATACTGGAAGATCGGGAATAAAAAAGAAAAATGTTTTTAGAATATGGAATATTCTAAATATGGTTTTATCTACAAGAGCCCTTTTTTTCCCTGAACCCCAGTTAAGGGCAAAATGGGCAACATAAGCTTACTACTCTGTAAAACTGCAGTATGTCCTTAATGCCAGGGAGATTCCCCAAACTCCATTCTCTCCAAACTTGAGTTTGGTATACAACTTTAGGGCACCCTCTGCCAAGTCGATTGCAGTGATATATCACTATTGTTAATTACTTACTGTCACTACCACAAATTCATTCTGTCTTATCTCCATCTGGTCAAAAAACGGTCAATGGGAATGAATCCCACGAAGAGGATCACAGTGAGTAAAAAGCCTAATATGGAAATTATATATACATCTCAGGTGGAGAGTTTTCCAAAAACTCTGGAGGTGCCCACTGTGGCTGTGGGCTCTTACACTGTCAGGTGGCTCCTGCCCTGACTTGACTCTGACTCTGGATGGAACACCAGCAGGATACAAAACTTTCTAGCCTGGATGTCTAGGAAAGGAGAGGAGTCAACAGTGCCACGTGTTCCAGAGGATTTGGGGAGGAGGAAAGTCAAAGACATGAACATTCCCTGTACTCGAGAGATTCATGCCAACCTCTATAGAACTGGAAGGCAGAAGTCCAATCTCCAGTCCAAAGTCTAGACATTTAGAAAGCCTTCCTGGTGGCACAAGGGGTTAAGACACACAACTATGAAGCTATCCACAGCCACTGAAGTAGGAATTCCATCCCCGGCCAGAAAGGTGACCCACATGGCACAGCAGACCTCCTGTCTTGCCCACTGCTCCCCTCTGTCTCCGGTGAATCCTCTCACCCCCAGCACCTCTGGCCTACACCCTAGCTCTTGTATGCATAAATGAACCAATCTTTTTTAAAAAGTCTATACTTCTGACATTCTGTTTCCATATGATAGGTATATATAAAGTCATGTTGTTTTTACTTTTCAAATATCTTCTTAGATATAAACATGTAAAATATACCACATACCGTTCTATTAAATTTGCTTTGGTTTTTCCCCCCCTCCCTGTTTTCCCTCTTTACTGGGACTAGAAGACAACAGTTTCAGAGTAAGTGAACAAATAGTAATACAGTGCTGGTAACAAACATGACCTGAATTCTGGGAATTAGTGCTTTTCTAATTCGGGATTAGAACAGAGACACAATCTTCTCCAAAGAAGAGAAACATGTTATTCAGCCACCAAAGATTTTGGCTAACATCATTAGTGGCTGAAAGGACTACCAGCCCTAGTTAGTCATCCATGATCTCCATTACAGCAAATCATAATCTCCAATTTTTCAAACTACAAATTGTAGGTAGAAGAGAGAATAATTCCAGATTAATTTAGGATGATTGCTTAAGTGTCCTCCATTCATTAATTGGCAAATTCTTCAAAGTGACTCTTGGAGAAAGGAGCCTTTTGTATGCTCCTAGTTATTGCTGCGAAGAGGCTGGTAAGTGCTACTCCTGCTAAGCCACCTTGCGCTACCCTCAAAGACTGCCTGCAGACTTACACAACATGCTCATTGTGGTTCTGGCTGCTACAGCGTTGAGGTCATCTCCTGCACCTTGCTTTTCCTCAATGACAACACTAAATGTACTTTACAGCAAAGTCAAAGAACGCAGATTGTTAGCCTAACTGCCCCTGACACAGTCCCTATATTCATAATCTATGCATTTCTTGGTTTGACTAGGTCATCTTCTAGATTTCCTTTAAACCTAGCCATAGACTGTTGATTGTCCCAATAACCCCGGTGATATAACATCCTCTAGTGACTACAAATATGTAGGTCTAAACAAACAAACAAGTAAGCAAGCAGGCCACTTCAAAACTTCCCCAGGTTTTATTAGCGCCTGTCAGTAAAATAAACTCATCTTGTGTTCTGCAAGAGATCCTGGGAATCCACTTTCAAATCAGGAGATTTGGCTGGCAGGATGGCCAGCCAAGTCCGTATGCCTTAACCTGCTCAGCTATGAAAAGGCTTCCGCTCAGAAAAACGCCAGCCAATACCCCTGTGGTTTTGTTTCTGCCTCTTCCACTGCCCTCCACGGTGCCCACCTGCATGGCATGGCCACCCAGGCCAGGCTGTCTGCTAGTCCACTGTTCCTGAGCAACAGCAGGGAGTCTGGTGTTAACACTGCCTCCTTCACACCTGATCTCCCAGGTGTTGGCATTTCTTTTTTAATATCTTAGAACCTGAAAAAGTGCCCACAACCTCTCTGAAATGTGCCTTTAACCTCTCTGAAAACCTGCTTACAAGGTGATGGACTTGGATAACTCACTTAACTTCAAATTTCCTCACCTGTAAAAGCTAAGACACCTAATTGTTAACCCTGTAGGTTTGCTGATGAAAGCGAAGGGCTTGGGCTTGCTTCATTTACTGTCCAGCCTCGGAGGTATGGAAATGACAGCTCTGCCTCTTTATAAACAACCAGAGGCTGCTCCTGAAGTACAATGTGCACTGAAGCCCACAGTGGAAACAGCAGACTGAGAGGGCAAAGATTATGTTAGCAGCTTCTATGTCTTTGTTAACAGGTTCCCAGTCTTGTTCATGTAGTCAAACCTCAAGGGCATGTGAAACTTATTCTAGCTAAGGAAGAACTTTGAACAGAACTGGTTTCTTTTAAGTGGCTGATTTAGGAAAAGGCATATGAATTTCTATTGCCCAATGAGTTTTGAGGGAAATTTGGCCAAGGGTTTTCTGGGAAAAGATAACTTCCTCTTAAAGAATACAAAAACAACACCCTTCTACCTCAGGATATGATGATGTTAGATGTCATATTTGAAAGACTTGTGACTCTAGACTAAAAACAATGTGAACATGGTGAGCAAGCTGAACAGAATGACAAAAAAAAATCTTGTGCTTGATATCTTGTTATGTAATAATAGGTATATTAAGAGTCTTCTGTCACTTTTAGCAAAACTATCTTAAGAGAAAGGACAGAAATAACTGTAATAATTATATCAAAATCCAACTCTTTAATTAACGTAATGTGTACATAAAATGGTAAACAAATGTTTTCGGATGACAACAAAGAAACTTCCAATAATTGAAGAGCAAGTCCTTCATTCAAATGACAAAGGACATGCTCTCCTCTAGCCCCAAGATGAAAAAAAAAAGTAGCTTGATAATATGTGACATGTGCCTGAAGGCAGAGATTCTGCCAAGATATTAAAAAATAATCTGACAAACTAAAAATTTACTCTCCCAGAAGCAGGAATAAAGCTATCCAAATAATTGCCTTAGAACTGACTCAACTGTGATTCACAAGAGCAAACCTTAAAAGAAACATAGTTTTAAGGAACTCTCCTGCACTGCTGGTGGGAATGCAAACTAGTACAACCACTATGGAAAAACTGTTTGGAGGTTCCTCAAACTGCTAAACATGGAGATTTCCTACGACCCAGCAATCCCACTCCTAGGTATCTACCCAAAAGACACAAAAACATTGATTGAAAAAGATACCTGTACCCCCATGTTTATTGCTGCTTTATTTACAATTGGAAAAACGTGGAAGCAGCCCAAATGCCCAAAAGTAGATGACTGGATAAAAAAGATGTGGTACATATATACAATGGAATATTACTCAGCAACCAAAAAGAGAAACACATATCTTTTGCAGCAACTTGGATGGAGCTGGAAAAGATCATGCTTAGTGAGATAAGCCAGAAAGAGAAAGAAAAATACCGGATGGTTTCACTCATAGCAGGAGTATAATGGACCAGGCGAGAAAATAACAAAAATAATGAACAACCATATACCAGAGACATTTTGCGGGGGTGGAGTGGGGAATGGGATCAAAAACAACCGGGGGGGGGGGGTTGGAGAGGGAAATGCACGGGATTATGGTGAATGCACATGGGTGACTTGGTGACGGGAAACCCGCGGGGATTACAACTGAGATGGAAAAAAAAAAAAAGGGAAAAAAAAAAAACGTACAAAATGATGTAAAAATAAACTTTTGTAAAATAAAAAAAAAAGGAGAAACATAGTTTTGGGCCCTCCCTAGTGGCTCAAGGGGTTAAGACAGCACTATGAAGCTACTGGCAGCCACTGCAGTACCAGTCAATCCCCAGGCAGGGAGCCAACCCACAGGCCACAGCAGACCTCTCCTGTCTTGTCCACTGCTCCCCTCAGCACTGTATTTCAGTCAATTCACCTATTCTGTTCCCCACTCTGCCTC